CGGGCGACTCCTGCTTCTTGTCCACGTGGGAGATTGTTCCCAGCCCCGTCTTGGGGTTCCTGTCCCGGCTGCCCCTACCCCCAGGCCCTGCAGGGCCCCTCGCCCGTGGGAGGGGCTTGGTTTCCCTTATTTCCCTGGTCGTCCGGTCAGCAGTGTCCTGAGGCGGTGAGGGGCCGGCTCTGCCCAGCCTCCCCCCAGGGAGGGGCTCTCGGTGGGCGCCTGGGGCTGCCGGGAGGAGGCAGGAGGGACCTGAGGGGCGCGGCGGCCCTGGCACGTGGTTGCCACTCCGTGATGCCGTCATCATTGTGTCCTTCCCAGCAGCCCAAGTGTGAAGCTGCTGTTAAATCATCATCGCCTCCAACCGGGGGTTTTCTGGGCACTTCAGACACATCATCTCGCAGGGTACTGGACGAGCAAGTGAGACTCAGAGAGGCAGAGCAACGTTCCCAACGTCACACAGCTTCCAGGGCCATGCTGAGAACGAGCCCAGGGCTTTCGGATCCATTCCTGCCTGCTCCGGGCTCCGACTGGGAGGTGGGCGCAGGGGCCCCCTGCACGGGCCGGAACGCGTGGCGTTACGTTTTCCTGGAGAAGGTTCCAGGGCTCTCCATGGGGGCAGGACATATGTTTTTATAGGATCGTGAACGGTCTAAAGAAAAAGTCGCTGCTTCGATATCAAAGGTCGGCTCTGGGGCCCTTCTGAAAGGCGAGAGGTGTGCCTCGAGCTTCCGGAACCTTCTCCCTGTGTTGGGCCACTTCTTTGGACTGGTTGCTTCCTTATGAAATCTGGCCTCACAGGGAAGTGGAGACGCTGGCCTCTAGCCTGGCCCCTCGTGGCGCTGTCAGCAGCCGTCAGCTGGAGGCGGGTGGGGGGTAGCCCCGTGTCCAACCCCGGCTGCTCCCGGCGTCCTCCGGCTCAGCACTGCCAACCCTTCAGCCAGCGCCACGCTCCGCGCCTCAATGGTTAAGTGGAATCCCTTCCCCGGTGCTCGAGGGTGGAGGAAGGAGGGAACAAAGCAGGAGGGAGAGTGGCGCTGGCGAGGCTTGGGATTTATTTGTTGTGCTCGCTGCTGGCGAAGCCGCTCCGCAGCCGGCGCGGGCGGAGATGGCTGATTCATTAGTTTCTGACCATCTGCTTCCCGGGCTGGGACCGGGCGGGGGGCCAGCAGACCCCGCGGGTTAGGGCAGCGAGGCCGGCAGCCGGGTCGAGCCCCTGTCCTCTGCCAGGACCGGCTGTGTCAGTCTTCTTGGTGACAGACAGGCCTGGGAGGCTGGGATCTGAGAGGGACCCCATGTCCCCCCTGGGGGACCACCGGGAGGCTGGGCTGGGTGAGGGGAGGGAAGGCAGGGGACAAAGAAGGACCAAGGTAGATAGAGGAGGTGTGGGACTCCCAGAGCTGGCTGACAAGAATCATATCAACATTCAATATGAGGTTTATGAATATGAATCTATATTAACAACTAAGTCATATAACAACAATCGATATAATAAAAGCCCAGCGACTGTTACGGCGGAACGACCAGAACCACTGTTCACTATGATGCGCACTGACCACCAGGGGGCAGATGCTCAACGCTGGAGCTGTCCCCTGGTGGTCAGTGCGCTCCCACAGCGGGAGCACCACTCAGCCAGAAGCCGGGCTCACGGCTGGTGAGTGCGGCAGAGGTGGCGGGAGCCTCTCCCGCCTCTGTGGCAGCGCTAAGGAGCGGCGAGCCAAGCGGTTAGGACCAACAGGCAGGGGGTAAGGAGCGAGCAGGCGGGCAGTTAGGAGTGAGGGGTCCCGGATTGCGAGAGGGTGCAGGCCGGGCTGAGGGACTAATTTCGTGCATCGGGCCTCTAGCAATAACTATAATGCAGTGAGCAGTAGCTGAGGTCCAGGCCACTACCCCGGCCCAGGTAACCACCCTCACAACCTCACGATGGAGGAGGAGGGAACTGGCTTTAGAGAGTGCGTCAGCAAGGAGGGCTTCCTGGGGGGGATCTCCTGAGAACCGGGAGGAGGGAGAGCGGCCGTGGGAGCACAGGCTCAGAGGCGAGAGGGGACAAAGCCGCCAGGGAGGAGGCACGCCTCCAGTGCTCTGTTGACAAGAGCTTTCCAGGGGGACAAGGAAAGACGCCGGACGGACGGACGGCTCTGGTGACGGTGTGGTGTGCTCGGGAGGGGCCCAGAGAGCTTCCAGGGAAATTATCGGGACACACGACTCAGCCCCGCCCCTCTGAGCCGTTCCCCCGCCCTGACCTCGGCTCACCTGGGACAGGTGTGTCTTTGCTTGCTGGGGCCCGGGGGCTCGAACAACAGATTCACTTTCTCAGGCTCTGGGGCTTCCAGCCCAAGGTCAAGGTTGGTTTGACCCTGGAAGACGGAGGGTTGGTTCCTCCTGAGGCCTCCCTTCTCGGCTTGAGGCTGACGGAGCTCCCTCCACCACCTCTTCGTGTGGCCTCTCCTCTGTGTCCCTGTCCACCGCCCCCCTCTTATGAGGACCCCGCCTGACTGGGCCACCCTAACCACCTCCCTATGACCCCGCCCCGCTTAAAGGCCCGTCTCCAAACACGGCCCCATGGCGGAGCTGGGAGCTGGGCTTAGGCTCCGACATGTGGATGTGGGGGGCCCCTAGCCCCTAACGAGGTGCCAGGGCGGTGGAAGGAGGTGGCCTGGGGCCGAGGGAAGAAGACAGCTGCTGGCTGCGGGGAGGGGAGGGGGGACGCTGCCTTGGTTGCAAACTGTGTCCTTGGCCCCCGATGTCCGGGCATGAACTCTGGGCAGCTGCTCTCTGCTCTCCGCCCTGAACGGCACAGCAGAGCCCGGTCCGCCTCTGGGCTCAGCCCGCGGTGGGCTGGCCATGCGCCTGGAGAGGGGGCTGTCCCCACGGCAGGCCTGCCTCTCCCGGCCCAGCGGAAGCCTTGTCTCTGCAGGCCACGGAGCATCCCCTGGGGCCTCTCGCTCCCCACCCCCCATTCAGGGTGACGCCTCAGGGCCCCCAGCTGGAGCCCGAAGGAGCTCCCCCTCCAGGGAGGTGTCTCCCGTGAGGTCCCCAGCGTGTGGGGCACCCTGAGATTGTCCAGGACAGGAGCCGGTATATCCTCAGAAAACAGCCCACGCACAGGAGGCCGGGGCCAGCCCCCCTGCCCGGGGCCTCAGGTTCCCCTGTGCTCCCTGAGGGGTTGGACTCAGGAGTGAATCCCTTCAGCACCGAGGTCTGTGGGTCCCGTGAATCCCAGGGCTGGCCCGTGGGGTGGACAGCGCAGCCTGGGGTGACCAAGGACAGAGCTATGTTGGTCAGCGCGCTTTGTGGGAGCTGCCTCGGCGAACCCAGGCCAACCCGCCCCCCCCCCCCCAGGAGCCCGGCCCGGGACTGGCCCTCCCTCGAGGGGTCCCAGGTGAGGTCCTGAGGCTGTGGTGGGGGTAGCGCTCAGCCCCCGGGAGACGGCGCCCCGCCCCCGCCCGGGCTGGATGGCTCGCTTTAGAGTGAGCAGCTTTATCTCAGATCCAAGCCGTTTGTCACCGCGCAAACGGAGACCTGAAATATTCATCAAAAAAGCCGTGAGGGGTCCGGGCGCTGTGCGGGCCTTGGTGACAGGCTTGGTTTTTAATGAATAGGTTTGGGCGTTTAGAGCTGTTCAGGTGGACAGCGGAGAGCAGAGGGCTCCTCGGCTGCTGCTTCCCCCACGGCGCCCGCACACCTGGCGTGAGCGGGTGCATTTGTTACCCCGATGAACCAACAGTGCGTGCCTATAACTGAAGTCCACACTTCACAACAGGGTCCCCGGGTGTGGGCGTGACAAATGCCCGGTGTCCTGGACCCACTGTGACAGGTCATCCAGTCGCTCACCGCCCTCAAACTCGCCCGTGCCCCACCGGCTCGCCCCGCCGCCCTGGGCAGCCTGTGCTGGCGACATTTCGGGCTCTGCGTGCGCTCAAGGCCCAGCCAGATGCGGGGATGGATCTGAGCTTGCCGTGGAGGGGGAGCCCCGCTGGGCGGGGAGAAGGCTGCCAGCGCCGCCCGCCCCCCCCCCCCCAGGTGGGAGGGAGGACTGTAAGCCAGAGGGGCTGTGCCCTGCCTTGCTCACCAGCGCCCCCCACTGGGCCTGCCCGGCCTGTGCCAAGGACCTAGAACTGACTTGGCACAAAGGTGCACGCCCTTGAGAGGAACCCCAAACACTCAGCACCCCCAGCTGCCCAGGTTCCACATGAGGCGGACAAACGGGCTGTGCCAGGGACAGGCGCCACCGCCACGCTCTGCGCCCACAGGCGGGTGTGGCTCCCGCTCCCCCGGCGGGGCCTGGGCAGGGCCGCCCCCTCCTGAGGCCAGGCTGCCTCACCCCGAGCGTGAGGATAAGCGTGGAGGTGGGAGGTGGGATGCAAATCGGAGGGAAGGGAGTTGAATTTGAACGTGAGATCGTGGGCCTGGCACTGAGTTCAACCAACGTTTGTGGTGAGTGGCCTCCCCCACCCCTGCTCCTGCTGCAGCCATGATGGTCAGTTTAAGGGTCAGGAAGACACCTCCGTGCAGGAACCGTTTAAAGAGGCGGACGGGGAGGGAAGGGCCGGTCCAGGGGAAGGAACCCGGCTGCAGAGGCTCAGAGGCTCAGACAGTGGGCTTGCAGGCCAGGCGGCTCGGAGGGCGGAGCCAGCAGGTCCGGGACGGGGCTCCAGGCGTCGGGTCAGGGTACTAACAAGTTAGACCTCCATCCTCCGGGCAGTGGGAGCCACGGGGGCCGCGGAGCAGGTGACCCACAACCCCCCCTCGGCTGGTCTCCACTTAGAGTCGAGCGAGTGCGCTCCCGGGGGTGCTAGGATAATTACGGCCTCTACGCGCTCTGGGGAGACGGGTGCGAAGGACCTGCCCAGGAGCTGCTGCCTGGGGCCTGGACGCGGGACAGGACACGGGCCCTGTGACCTCTGGCAGATGCCTGGGCACGCGGTGGGGGCCGGGCTGGGCAGAGGCGCCCCAGGCCCTGCCGGCAGCAGCGCCCACCCGTGCCCCCCCTCTCCCCGCAGGAGAACCCCTACCTGTGCAGCAACGAGTGTGACGCCTCCAACCCGGACCTGGCCCACCCGCCGCGGCTCATGTTCGACCAGGAGGACGAGGGGCTGGCCACGTACTGGCAGAGCGTCACGTGGAGCCGCTACCCGAGCCCGCTGGAGGCCAACATCACGCTGTCGTGGAACAAGAGCGTGGAGCTGACGGACGACGTGGTGGTGACCTTCGAGTACGGCCGGCCCACCGCCATGGTCCTGGAGAAGTCCCTGGACAACGGGCGCTCCTGGCAGCCCTGGCAGTTCTACGCGGAGGACTGCATGGAGGCCTTCGGCATGCCCGCCCGCCGGGCCCGCGACCTGGCGGCCTCGGGCGCGCACCGCGTGCTGTGCACCGAGCAGTACTCGCGCTGGGCCGGCGCCCAGAAGGAGAAGCACGTGCGCTTCGAGGTGCGGGACCGCTTCGCCATCTTCGCCGGCCCCGACCTGCGCAACATGGACAACCTCTACGCGCGGCTGGAGAGCGCCAAGGGCCTCAAGGACTTCTTCACCCTCACCGACCTGCGCCTGCGGCTGCTGCGCCCGGCGCTGGGCGGCACCTACGTGCAGCGCGAGAACCTCTACAAGTACTTCTACGCCATCTCCAACGTCGAGGTCATCGGCAGGTGAGACCGCGGAGGGCGCCGGGATGCCACTTGGTACCCGGGGCGTGGCCTGGTCCCCGGGTGCCACCTGGTGCCGGGATGTCCCGCCCTGGCTCCCTCCGTGGAGGGTGGTGGGTGGTGGGAGATAAGCCTCCTCCGTGGAGCCCAGGCTGCTGCTGCCCACGGACCTGGGAGTCTGGAGAGGCTGAGAGGAGCTGGCAGTGCCGGCCGGGCTTGGGCCAAAGCCCAGTGCTTGGGGGTCGGGGGCGGGGGGGGGGGCGGGGAGCGAGGTGCTCCGTTCCTGTCCAATGATGATTCGATGACAGGGCGCTTGTGTCTGGGGGTCCCCAAGACCACCTTCAGATGCCAGGATTTGCTAGAAGGACCCCCAGAGCCTGGCAGAGCTGTGACAGTCACAGTTCATTTACGGTGGGGAAAAGCCGCCGTGGAGCACGGGCAGAGGGCGGCTCCAGGGTCACCCACGGGCCGGCGTCCTCCCCATGCACACAGCCCGCGGCCCCCCAGCACTGATGCGCGAGGACAGTGCGGACTGTGCCCCTGGGGAGCCCGCCAGAGCCTGGCTCAGGGTTTCCATTGGGCCAGACCACGTGGGCACAGCTGACTGCCCTGCTTGGCCGTGGCCGCCGGTGCCCAACCAGAGGCCCAAAGCCCCCACCACGTATCACACAATTCACACAAACCGCCTGGCGTGGCCCGGCCGCAGGGAAAGCAGCACCCGCTCCGGGCATTCCGGGGGCTCGGAGGTTCCCCCCAGAGCCAGTGTGGGGCCGGGCTTTTCCTTGAAAAGTAGCGTGTGGACGGCCCAGCCCGGCCGCTGGCTGCTCCCAGCTCCCAGAAGGATGTGTCTTGAGGGCACTTTGCGGGGAGGTGAGAGACCTTCGTGGGAGGTAAGGGCAGCCTCTATCTCGGGACCTGTTAGACCGGGCGATGTTCTCAGTGGATCAGGTAACGTGACGGCCTGCAGGGGCCAGGACTTCACCCCCCAACGCCCCACTCTGCACTCAGGGGAGAGGCTGGGAGGCCCCGCCACTGGGAACCGAGGGGCAGGCATGCAGTGCCAGGCACAGCGGTACAGTGCCAAGGGCAGTGGGTGCAGTGCCAAGGGGAGGGGTGCAGTGCCAGGGGAGGGGTGCAGGG